TAACTATCCAATAAAATATAAATATAAAATTAACCAATAGAATATAATAAAATATCATCTAATTAAATTTATAATATAAATTAACCAATAAAATAAGAACTAAATATTTATATTATAACAGATTTCTCATAGTTAAGAATTTTACTCCATAAAATAAAAATATAAGATAATAAAATGAGTATAAAAATATAAGAATATAAATTGAATATATATTGGATCTCAGTTTTGTATGCTTATTATAAGATACTGGAAGACTTTGCTATTCAGCTATATAATCTTAGTCAGTCATAACAATCATTATTGATTTAAGAAATAATAAATTGAAAGTGAATAATAAAAATAAGATCTCATCTTATGTATAGGTATTATAGCAAAGATCCTCTGATAGAGCTGTAACAACATGTAAATTATTCCACAAGTCATCAATACACATAGCATTCTGATCTCTTTTGTTAAAATGAAATTGAGAATAAGAAAGTTTAAACTGTGTATATGACAGAAAACATCTATTACAAAATTCAAGTAATGTCAAACCAACATCTCAACGAATTAAGTCAGAGAATCAGTCATAAAACAATTTTTATTTACTCAAAATTTTTGTGTATATACGAAGAGTAATAATAAGAGAAAAGTAATTATTCAAAATTTAATAAAAATAAATTAAATTAAAAAACTTTAGAAAATAAATTAAGTGTTTTTTATAAGAAAATGCAATAGAAATTAGATTGATAATTATCTAATTAATTAATAATTGAGATCTTTTCATCATCTATTCCAAATGTAGATAGATAAATAAAAGGATAAGAGATTATAAAAGCAAACAAAGAGAATAATAAACTTCAAAAATTTTATTATATTTAGTAAAAAATAACTGGAAACTCAAATAAATAAAAATATAAATATGTATTAGTCAACTGACTATATATAAATCATGATAAATCTTTATGCCAAACATAACAATCATATATTATAAACTAAAAAAAGATTGGACTTATTGATATGATCAACAAAAACTAAACTAAAAATAAAAAAATAAACTAAATTTTCCAGAAATAAAATATGAATATAACTTTAATTCCAAATTTATAACATAAATTATTAATAAATGGTATTGTTATCCTGTTAATGATTAATACCAATCAAGTTTTTGCACTCATTAAAGAGTTCACATTGACAACAGGTTACTTCATTCATTAAAAATTTTGTTAATAATCCACTTTATTCCCTTGCAAAATGAATTTTTCACTGAAAAATTATAATAAAGTCCCTTTTAATTTTGTGTACAAATTTTGACATAATCTTTATAATTTTTATTTATATGTGATATCTTCTGAATCTATTTTTGGATGTATTATTATATAATAGAATTTTATATTAATTATTAGTTAAAAATATTATTGGATAATTTGAGAATAAATGTTTATATTTTAATTAGTTAAAATCTTCATATTTATATTTCATATTATATTATTTATATTATTATTTATATTATTATTTATATTATTATTTGTGTTACATTTATATTATTATTATTTACAAATATTATATAGATTATTTATTTAGGTTATATTAGATGATCTATATTTATATTAGATTACAAGACAAGTAAATAAGTGAATAATCAAGTAAGTGAATAAGCAGTTTTTTTGTGAATATCATTGATAGTTTTAATTTAACAATTTTATATAAAAGAAACATATATTTTAGCTTAGAAAAATCAGTTATTAATTCAATTAGTCAAGTTCTAAATATTAATAACTCAAAAATAAACTTCTTTGATAATAATACTCCTTTTTAAATTGCTATGTCGCTTATATTAATGAATACTTAAAAATTACCTAGAAATGCTTGCTTTAGTTTGTAGAATTCAAATAATTTTGAAAAACAATTTTAGCTACTAATAAAATAAGTCAAAATAATTTCAAATTTAATTTTGACAAGTTAATTTCAGCAAATTATTTAATTAGATGACATCATTTTGGCAATCATTCTTAATTTAGAATGTTAAAATATTTCTTTTATTATTTCATTATTTAAGTTTTAAAGTTTTATATTAGTTTTGTTTAAGGATGCTTGCCTAAATCCTTTCAGAAAAATATCGTCATAATTTCGACGGGTTACACACTAATTGTTAATTAGAATTTCGACATAATTTCGGTTACGACGGGTTTCAAAATTCATCAGAATTTCGACGGGTTATTTATTAATAGTTTATTATAATTTTGACAGAATTTAGACAGTCACTAAGGGATTTCGGCAAGCAACCTTAGTTTTGTTATAATTTTTCACATATTTATAATATTATATTAATAACCTTTTACATGTTTATAATATTATATTGATGACCTTTTATACGTTTGTAATGTCATATTTATAATTTGATCTCTCACACATTTGTAATATCATATCATTGAAATGATTTAATAATTAAATTCATAATATTTTACTTGTCTATAAACTATCATTATAATTATTATATTATATGTAAATTAAATTATAAGAAGATTTTTTTAGCTGACTAATATTTAATGAATATATATTATCATCTTTAGTTATTCATCTTATCTCTTTCATCTAACTTAAAACACATGTTAAACATATAGAAAGATATAATATATTTGAAACCCAAGTAAAACAGTAACAATATATTGAGTGAATTTGTTTACTTTAGCTTAATATATATTAAATGAGTTATAAAGTAAGTTATTATATTTATTAATATTATAATATTTTTCGACAAGTTTGTAATATTAAGTGAAACTTTAAATATTTTTAATATTATAAATAATATATTATTTAATATAATAATAATATATTTATTTTTTTATGTTAAAAAATAATTAAATTTTATACTAAAAAATAATTGATTAATAAATATAAAGTTTACTATAATTAATAATTTGAACTGATAATTAAATAATTTATTTAAGATGTTGTAGTCAATAATTAATAAAATCTAATACAAATTTTTGATGTGCTTTTTTATTTCATAAAATTGAAAAATAACTTGTATTTTGAAATTTTATTTATAAAAATAATCATTTATTTCTAAAAAAATTATTTTTGCGAAATTTATTATAATATAAATCTAATTCTATTTAATATGATTCAAGTAAAGCTTATTATAAAGAACAAAGTTACTGTCTCTATATTGAATTAAAAGATTTTAAAAATTGAAACAAATTGTTGAATAAATTACTTGAATCATATTACGCATACAATTAAGAGTCGTAATCACGTGCTCCGACACCCTCTTTCGTTCGAATAGTGCTTCGAATAGTGAAGAAAATAAAAAATATAAAAAATAGATATCAAAATCTAGTTTAGAAAAGCAATTTTACATCTAATTCGCGATCACGTGTACGTGTATTTTTTTAAAGCCACGTGATCCTGCACTGTCCGTAGACTTCCCGTTTTTCGCTACGGGACAATGTCTGATCACGTGATATTTTCCGGGCCAGTGCCGGAGAAAATTTATAACGCCGTGGCTAGGAGACTTTCTAATCAGGTGATAGAATCGTCAAAGTGTGAGAAAAACATTCTTGTAACACCATAATCATTTTGCTCGTTTACACTTCTCTCACGTACAGATGCCATTACAAGTCAAAGAGAAGTTGTCACTCTCAGCCGACTCGCCTGAAAAACGAGTCATCGAATTGAATTTGACGCTTGAAGTGATAAAATTACTTCAAAAGGCACAAAGCGATGGGAAGAATTTGTCGGTGAAATTCAACCCTAGTAAGCAAACGTCATTGGTAAGCGTGGAGAGTGAAGGGTAGTTGTTGTGATTTATTTGAAAATTAATTTTCGATTAATCAATTGAATCTCGCTTTTTTATATTTCTAAAGGTGATTCACGCTGGTGAAGACAAATACGAGTGTATATCTGAGAATAAACCAGCAAGTGCGTTGTATAAGGTGTATCAACAGCTTTCACCAGCGGGGCTGGAGTTGGTGGGTGAAATTACGAGTGAGGCTACGTTGAAGAAATTACAGGAAGAGAAGAAATTCCAGGCAGCAAGGGAGAAGATGAGGAAAAAGCAAATTGCGATTAACCAACAGAAAGAGAAGAAAAGGTAAGAATGAGTTGCTTTTTGAGTGGATGGTGAACTTTGATGTGAATTTTTTAAGGTGATCAGTTATATTTCATAGAGATCGGTGACAATTATATCTAGTTTTTGTATTTAATATTTTTTAGAGTCATAAGGCTTGATGAAGAACCAATAAAAGCTGGCTCTAACAAGAGCACCACCACATCAAGAGCCGCGACCCTCACAAAGCCAGCAGCTACCAGCAAGATGAATACAACCAATAATAACAGTAGTAGTATTAAGACAAGTACAAGAGCGACAAGATCAACCAATTCGATAATGTCATCATCATCTACAACAAAAGGAGGAGTCACAGGGAATAATGCAAAAGTTGCAAAGGCAACTGTGAAATCAAATGCTACTCGAAAACCTGGACCAACACTTGTACAATCTTCCAAATCATCTGCATCCGAAACACAAGGCAGTACTAGTCAATCAAACCAGGTATTAATCGAAGAAGAATCTGGCGGTATTCCGTTAAAGACACGGATCATACAGTTGTTGGCGTGGACTGATCTTCCGTTTGACAAGGTGGTAAGGATGACACAAGATAATAAGGATCAGGTATTGGCCGTATTAAAGATGGTAATTTTCAATATTATATTATATTATTTTATTTTTATTTGATGTTTTCTGGATTTTCAATGCTATGAATTTACGTTTGAATTAGGTTGCACAACAAGTAGGACAGGATTGGAGACTCAAGGATGAGACATACAAAGAAGTCAAGGTGTACGAGTGGACAAGCTATGCGAATGCTGAAATAAAAGCGGTCGTTGACAGAGCTACCAAGGCATTTAATGCGTTAAAGATTCCAAAAGACGCACCAGAATGGAAAAAATTGAGGCAACCTATGGAGACAAAACGGAAAAGGCCGGCGCCCAGCAGCATTGCAACATTACCGGTGTCATCATCACGCAATGAACCTCCAGAGATGCCTGCAACAAAAAAACGTAAGACTGCACAAGCTGCGGCGCCATCAACGTCTACTATTGCAATAACTTCCGTTACAACTCGAAGCCCGCGAGCTCGAAAAACAGCAAGAAAACCAGAACCAGTAGTCAAAAAAAGTCCAGCACCGTTAACAGCCTCTTCTTCCACTCAAGCTAAAAAACCTGCGGTCAGAAAGACTAAAAGTCAATCAGGCGCTGAAGACATACCTAACGTAATTTCGCCAAGCAGCACATCAACAGCTAATGCAAGTGGAAGCAGAAAATCAATATCACCTTCTTCAGCGTCTACTTCCACATCAACGTCTAATAACGGAGCAGAGTTTACATTGGCGCGTGTTACTAGCTTAAAGCAATTCAGGGACTTGGAAACCCTTTTTAGAAGTAAATACGAACGTTACGAACAGCTCTTTAATCAATTGAAAGATGATCATAAGACGAACGAGCGATTAAATGCCGAATATTCAAATTGTAAAGATCCGGAGGAAAAAGCGCAGATCACTCGAAAAATTGCTGCACAATTCGGAGATACAGGCGAAGTTTCTTTGAAGATGCGCGAATACACGACAATTCAAGATCAATTAAGAGCCATCAAGACTGAATTGTATCGCGCATCCGAAGAAGAAACACTCGGAGCAACAGATATGGATGTAGACAGAGATGACAGGGTTGATGATGATGAAACAGAAATGTAGAATCGCGCATCAACAATAACAAAAACAATATTTCAGTTATTATTTGCATAGTATTTTCTTTTTATTCTTGCACAATTATTATTTCTTTCATTATTTTATCTTGTGGTGAACTTAAATTTCTTAAAAGATGGTATTTACACTAATTTTAATATTGATTTTATTGTATATAATCATTGTAATATTTCTTATTCATCTTTTAATTAATTAGTTGCTTCAAAATGTATAAAAAATTTTAAAAAGTATTAATTATTAATTAGTTATTAAAAATTGATGTCTTGTTTACATCATATTATTTTGTTTATATACAATTATTTTATTTAAGATATTACTAGAATAATTAAATTTATTCTAATAATATTAATAATATTAGCAACAATTAAATCTTTTTATAATAGCTGAAAATTTTTAATTATACAATATTTGTATAATAAAATATTTCTTAATTTGTAGATTATTTCAGACAAATTTGTTTGAAAATTTCTTTATATATGTTGTGTTTTAGATTATAACTTGTTTCAGATTACACTTTATGTACTCATTTTTAGTCAATATTAATTCATTTTCTTATAATTTGGACTGAGTATAATTTGAGACAAGTTATAATTTGAGGTATATAAAAAATATTATTTTTTAATTTTTTTATTAACAATAAAGTTTTATATAGTTTTAATAAATTTAATAAAAAAAATTAAAATAAATATAATTATATATAAACATAATAATTCAAGTTATTTACATTTATTATGTATAATATATAGTGTTCATTAGAAGTAACAGATCCTTTATAACTTTTCATAGATCATGTGTAATATTTTGAAATTTTCTAAGCACAAAGAATATTACAAATACTGATCATGATATCTTTTATAAATTGATAAAATTTCTATATTGTGTATTATTCATAAACTTTCATGTTTCAAATACATATCTAATTAGTTATTTCATAATATATATTTTAATATTGTTACTGTTTTTATAGATATTAAGTTCTTGACATGTTAATTACATGTTTTATTAATGTAAAAGTGAAAAAGATTAAGTTTTTATAGTGAGAGAGACTAAGATTTATTACTAAAGGTAGGTAACATGTGTTCTTGTTGTAACAAGCTAAAATGATATTCAATAACTTTATTAAGTTTTATATATTATTTTAGAACTTCAAAAGTTATGATTCAAACAATAATTTTATCAAGTAACTGTCTTTTAAGTCAATATTTTAAGTCAATAACAATGATTTATTATAAATGATCTATCTTTCAAGATCAAAAATCAATACAAATATAATTTTACAAGTTTTTATTGTTACGTTTATTTTCAAAAATTTCTTAATTAATAAATTTTTCAAAAATAGTAGAAAATATGAAAATCTCCAAAAATAGTAACAAAATAACAAATTAATAAAAATAGTTTATACATATTAATTATTTAGTAATCATATAATTATTATTATTATCTATCTTTTTCTACTCTTTTTATCTTTATTTTTTATCTTTTCTACCTTTTATACCTTTATTATCTATTTTTTTATCTTTATTTTCTACTTTTTTTATCTTTTATACCTTTATTATCTATCTTTTCTATCTTTTTTACCTTTATTTTTTACTTTTTCTATCTTTTATATCTTTATTATCTACCTTATCTACCTTTTCTACCTTTATTATTTACTTTTTCTACCTTTTCTATCTTCATTATTTATCTTTTTTATCTTCTTTTTTATCTTTTCTACCTCTATTTTCTACCTTTTTTACACTTTTTTATTTATCTTTTCTACCTTTTATATATATCTTTCTATAATTTTGTAACATAAATAGAACTAAAATGTATTGAGAAATTTTGTATAAATAGGAATGTTGTTTCTACATACTCTCTCATGTTTCAATGCTTAAAACAAATTAATAAATTTTAATCTTGATATAATAAGTTAATGATTGTCTTTGATTGATATTAATAATGAAATTTATATAATATTAGAGTGAGCAATGTACAATCATTAAGCAAGTGATATGCAATCATCAAGTGAGCACTTTTTGTAATCTTAATATCAATCAAAAATAGCTTTAATATTTAAAGATCGAGTAATAATAATTTATATAAATATAACATGTATCTTAACTTAAAAAAATAATCTTTTCATAGATTTAAATCTTTACTTTTGAATCTTTTTAGATTTAATCTTCTTACCTTTTAATTTTCTTTGACAAAATCTTCTTAGAAGTGAGTTGTATTATAAGTCTTGAGTTGGAGATTTTCAGTCAAGCATTAATTATCCTTTTTTTTTCTTATTTATATTCTATATTATTTAAAAGATCTTTCGTTTATAACAAGTAATATCATCTATAATAATATAATTAATTTCTCATTACTATTCTGTGAAGTTAATGAATATTATTTAGATTTATAATAAAAAAAGAAAATAATTTTATTAAAAGTTAATCAATAAAAGAAGATTACTTAACAATTAAATTATTTAAATTAAAAGAAAATTTCTGAACTCATTCTAGTAGTTCAACAAAATGAATATGTTATTATTTACCTTTATTAAATTAGTTTCTCCTAACCTTAATTACTTTAAATACATAATAACTTTTCCACCTAATTGAAACACATGAAAAAACATGTGATCTATATTTGAAAGATAATAAACTAACAGAAATGGTAACAAATTTTTGGTGCTTTCTTTGTGAAAAAGAAATCTTTAATAGCATCAAACTATAAAAAAAATCTTCAAAGGCATCAAATACAATAAATCAATTAGTAAACAAATTCTTTATGGATGAACTACTCAAATCAATAAATCAAACTAAATCCAATACAACTAATCAGTATTAAAATAAATGAATGAAGAATTAAGAGATGAAGTTAATTTAAAAGAAACTTTAACCAGAGAACAACTCAAGAAAATAAAACAACAAATAACTAAAATAATTGATGAAAGTTATATAGGAAATACAATCACCAGACCAATTAATCAACTCAGCAGATTACTAAAATAATATTCTTGTCAAAGCGAACAAGAAATTCAAGTATATGTATATTATCTATAACAAGATATCACAAATTTTTTAATACAAAGAAAAGCTTACCAAAGACAACAAAAACTTTAAGAAGAACTAGTGTTCTCGTTAATTCAAAAATTGTTGAAATTAATGAATTAACAAAGTAACATAACAGTGAAAGAACAAAGACTG